TCAGCAGCCCTGCTTCTGACACCTCCACGTGTCCAAAACATTTCCCAGATGTCTAAATGTGACACAGGCCTCCCCTTACCCTTAGGCTCCATATTCTGGGTGGACCCCACAAAGAGGCTCCAAAGTGGACCCCACAAAAAGGGCCACGCTGACCCTGTGCCTGAGTAACTGTTAGATGGCTCTGCTTGAGCCATCACCTCCCCAATCCTTATTCCAGAAGAAGGAACCTGGAGAAGCTGAAAGCTGGATTTGAGAAACAGGGTGGGCTACAGCTGTGTGAGTCCTGGCCGCAAGCCCGCTGGGCTGACCTCCCTGGCAGCAGTGTATAGGTTGTACACCATCTGATTCCTCACACGCACCAGCCAGCTGCCTTTTGCACTTACCTGTGCTTGTGAATCCCTTGGGGAACTTGTTGAACTGCAGATTGGGATCCAGCAAGCCTGGAGCAGGGCCTGAAATTCTGCATTTCCAACATGCTCCCAGGCGATACTACTGCTGCCGGTCCATGAACCTCACCTGGAGTAGCACCCCCATGTTTCGTGGCCCCACACTGAGTCACAACTTGGTTTCTCTTGGACCAACAGCATTGGCATCACCTGGGAACTTGTTGGAAGTGCAGATTTTTAATTCCCCACCCCAGATCTACCAAATAAGACTTTGCATTTTAAGGCAATATCCAGGAGATTTATTTGCACATAAAATTAGGAGAAGCACTGGTCTAGAAGACCTTGCCAGGGCTCTGAAATCAGAGCCTAGAACCAATCGTTTTGTAGAGGAAACTGAGTTTAAAGCACACAGCTTCTCATATAAGGACTGTATTCTATGCAAAATTTAAAAAGGGCACCATTCCCATGAAAGAGGGGGCTATCTATATAGAAAATCTGAACGCTGGAGGGGGGGAGGGGGCAATGGCTGATGGGTCTTCAGGGAGACATCTTGCAATGGGCTGCAAGATCCACGTGAGGGAGCCAGAGCCCAGGCAGTGAGTGCAGGGGTGGATGTGGGGAGGAGGATCCTCCTCCAGGTTTTTTTTTTTTTTTTTTTTTTTTATAAATTAATTTTTATTTGTGTTCAATTTACCAACATACAGAATAACACCCAATGCTCATCCCGTCAAGTGTCCCCCTCCGTGCCCTCCTCCAGGTTTTTATGTGTGATTTGCGACCTTGCGCAGCGTGCACAGGTGCACACACTTCTTGCTAGCCATATACAATTAAGCTGGAAAATACACTTTAAAAAAGATGAGAAATAATTGAGCACTATAGCTGAAAAACTGCGAGTAGAAAGTGATGTTTCAAAAGAAGAAAACCCCAAGGTTTTAGAGGCTAAACGATATCATTATAAATATACATGTAGTATAATCTAGGACAGTAGTGTTTCTACCTAAGGTAGGAAATAGTTTCTTTAAAAAGACATGGGAAGCATTAACCAATCAGGGAAAAATTGCTAAGTTGGAGTGCGGCTGGCATAAGAAACACCTATAGGAAAGGAGAAGACCGAGAGAACAATAAGTAGGAGCCGGTGTTTGCCATCTATTGAACCTGTGAAGGGCTTCCATCAAGAATACATAAAGTGCCACACACCAACAAGAAAACAAAAGCTTGTTAGAATAAATGGACAGACAACTAGAACAGACATCTTACAAAGGGTAATCTCAATGGCCAAGAGAAAAAGCGTTCAAACTCGTTTATACTCAGAAAAATGCAAATTAAAGCCACCGCGAAATACCACAACATACCCACCAGCATTGACAAGGGGGAATTACTGGTGGGGTTGTAAACTGGTAGAAACTTTGGAAGAGCTGAGGATTCTGCAGGAAATTGAAGCTACTCATACCCTCAAACTCAGCACTTCCGCGCCTGGATTTGCACCTATCAGAAGAGCACACACCTAACCCAAGACATGTGCAAGACATGTACAAGAGTTCCCCCTAAATCCGAAGCAGCAGAAGATGGATTAATAAATCATAACATAGTCATGCTAAACAACAAGAGAAATGAGCCAAAGTCAAGCATATCAGTAAGAGTCTGAAAAACATAATGTTGAGGGAAAAAAAGCAGACGCAAGGGAATGCATACTATACGCATCTATTACTACAATGTTCCAAAGTGGGATACAACAAGAAACCTTTTGTTAAAAGACTAAAAGAAAAAAATTAAACTAATCTTTTAAAATCTACTAAATATAAGGTTTGATGGTTAATTTTATGTGTCAACTTGGCTGGGCCATGGTGCCCAATTATATTTTGGTCCAATGAATAATTCTGGACATTTCTGTGGGGATATTTCTGGATGAGATTAACATTAGGTCAGTGGACTTTGGATGAAGTAAACGGCCCTTCATAATATGGGTGGGCCTCATCCAATCAGTTGAAGGCCTGAACAGAAGAAAGACTGACATATCCCAAGCAAGAGGAAATTCCAGCGGTAGGCCTGACCTACAACACGGCTCTTCCCCAAATATCTAGCCTGCCAGCCCACCCCACAGAGTTAGGACCTTCCAGCCTCCATAATCAGGTAAGCCAATTCCTTAAAGTCTCTTCTCTCTCTCTCTCTCTTTCTCTCTGTCTCTCTCTCTGAACAACCCTAATACAGTAGGTAAAAATAGATGAAATGTATCTAAAAGGTAAATGCTACAAGGCAGAGATATAAAAGGAACATGAAAGTAACAGAGGAGTACAACGACAGGCAGTGCAAGAGGAAATATGGAAAACAAGCCAGCCCATGAGATTGATGACTGTGAATAAAAATGACCACAAAACCAGGTAATAGCAATAAAACCTGATGTAAAAATGATTAGAGAGAAATGTCTTTTGAAAAAAATCTTGGGAATGACAATGAGAGAGGGAGAGAAGAAAGTAAGCTCAAAGCCGGTATCAAGGTCTGTTGCCACGGTGACACCTTCCTAGGCAGAGTAGCAGGGTGCCCCCTTTCTCATCCCCTTTCCCTGATGTCTGGAGAAGCTGGGTCCTAACCATGGCACCCTTTCCTGTCCATACATTCTGGGATGGGACCATAGTTCCTCCATCTAAATATCTGGAGGCGACCAGGCTGCTGGTAGATGGTCAGACCCAGAGTATCTCCTACCAGCTCACAGCCCAGAGTAACCAGGGCTGATGTTGCTGTGTATTTCCTGCTGGTCTTTTTCCTCTTTTACATATTTGTCTATATACGGCATCCAGATCATCCTCTATAGAAGTTCTGCATTCTGCCTTTTTAAAATATTGCATTACACTACATTATTGGAAATTTGTCAAAGATATGCTTCTTGATAGGTACATAATATTCCATGATAGATCATTCACTGGTTGTTTCACAAATATTTGTTGAATGCATGTAATGTGCCAGGTGTTGTGTGGCTTGTGCGAGGTCACTCTCCATTAGCAGCTAGTGTGGAACAGATGGCCGAGTCACTGAACACAGAGCAGAAGGCATTTTCTTTACTGCTAAGAGGTGTTCCTCACGGATTCCTGGGTTTGGAGCTGTTCCAGGTAACTGAACTTGCCCGTGTGAGTGGGGGAAGTGCTGTGCCGTAGATGGCTCACATGGGTATGAGCCCTGGACCACATCATAAGCATCCCCACTGTGAAATTCCTGGTGGAGTCAAAGGCAAGTTTTAGGATCAATACTTGTCGGAGACAACATGGCAGTCCTCTTCCGTGAGTTGCTGTTTCATTTTCAACTTTTTCAAAGTGTAATATGTTCATCATGGTTCTAAATTCAAGACAGAATCATGTTTGCAATGAAAAGTCTCATTTCCGCCACTTCCTCATCTGCCAGGTGCCTACCTCCAGCAACCACTTTTATTAGTTTTTTGGTGTGTATTCTGGATTTTCCTTATAGAAATACAAATGTATATACTTATTGGTTCCTTTCCAACTCTAAAATGTAGTCTACAACTTATATTCTTTTGCATCTTGCTTTTTGCATAAATTTAACTATATTTAACCATATTTCTTGGAGATATTTCCATATAAATAAAGATTCCCCCTTCCTAGATCCTTAGCACTCCAGCATAGTATTCCATTGCATGGTTGGCCTTAACTCTCTAACCAATCCCTATTAATGGACATTTGAGTTTGTCATTAGGTTTATCATCCCAAACAGGCTGTGTGTTGACTAACCTTGCGCATATTTTATTTTACACACATTACTTCTGGGTCAAGGGTAAATGCATTTGTAAGGTTTGGTATATATTGTCAAACTACTTTTTGTAGGGGTTGTGCCAGTGTACATTTCCACCAAGAACACTCTTCACCCCACCTTTGGCCAGAGACCCAGGATGATTGCTTATTGAATTAGCAAGTCGAGCATCTGCTCTGTGCTGGGCCCTGTGCTAAACCACAGCAACACAAGAACAAGATGCTGCTGGTACTTCCTTTTGAGCAGAGTGAGAGACAGACTTACTGGACGACCAAGTCAATTTGTGACGAAGCTCTATAGCATGACACCAGGACTATGAAAACACAAAGGGGTGATTTATTCTGGAAGGAAATCTTCAGGGGGAGGCACAGGTGATCCAGGCCCTGAAAGATGAGCAAGTTGCCAAGGGATGGAGAGCTACCTGACCCATGGGGACAGCATGAACAGCAACTGAGAAACTGGTTCCCGGGGCCATGGATAGAGTAGCTTGATGGAACTTGAGGTACTAAGATTGCAGAGGCAAGCAAAGACCAGAGAGAGACTGAGCTTTCATCCTGAAGGGACTGAGCAGTCTTTGTGGGCTTGCAGGTGGCAGCGACGTGGTCAGACCGTTTCCCCCAGCCACCTGCTCTGCCCACTGTATTCCCCTGGACTTCAGTACTCCCAGGAATGTGGTGGTGGGTGTCCCATTTCATCCCAGGGCATCATGTGATGCCTAAACTCTGACCTCACAATAGCCTCCAAGTAAGCCAGTTATGATGCAAGAAAAGTTTGCGACTGTCCTTTGGGTTCCCATAAACGTGTCCTGGAAAGCAACTCCAGGCCTTGACACCTCCCTTCCTAGCCGACTTCTGGAGTATGATCAGAGAATGGGAGAATGGCTGTCAGAAGATGGGAAAACAGAAAGCCCAAGAAAGGAAGGTTGCAGATGGAATGTGGAGGAAGGATGGAGGGCCAGTCAGGATATATAACACGAGTGACTCCTTCTGGGAGAAAGACTCCCTGTGCTGTCAACGGAATCTGTGTTCTGCTTCACCCCTGGAGTGAGCGTAGCCTGTGCTTCTGGTTCTTTCCTTCCCACCCCTCCCAGAACAAGCCAAGGGGAGGAGCCCACCCCAGACAGTGGTCCTAGCCTGACTAATGCAGAGTCGCCCTGAGGTTTCCCACCCCGAAACTAAGAGTAGGAAGGCCCTTCCTGGAGTCTTACTCTACCTGCCTCTCTGCCTTTCAGGATATGGACCAAATTCTACAAATCAGATCCGCGCATTGCCCTCGGGAAATACTCCCCCCTGGAAAAAGAGATCCTAGTAAGTGTCCTAAAGCATATTCACAGGGATGCCCCCCTTGTAGTTGGGCGGTAGGTTGGGGGGTGGAGCCAGAGGTTCAAAACCCACCAGCCGTGGAGATACAAGTCTCCCAGTGGCCTCAAGTTGGGTGAGTCCGTTTGAGGCTCCCACACTTGCATAGCAAATACTCCCTTGCTTCAAAGTCTTAATCAGGTATAAAACTGGGAGTGCTGACAAGGGACAGGAGCTGCTATTTCTGGAGCCCTTCCCTTATGCTAGTCGCTTTCATAAGTACTGTCTTCTGGAGGCCTCGCCATCGCCCTGTAAGTTGGCGCAATTCTTTCAAGTTCACGGTAGGTAAGGAGAGACAGGATTTGAACTCCAGCCTGTCTGACCCCAAAGCTCCACCTCATTTCCCTCAGCACAGGAGGTCAAACACTCAGCCACAGGGGGAGAGGGGCCATGAGGCAGTTCTTTCTGTGGATGGCCCTCTGTTCCTGTCCCGTTGAGATTTTAACAGTCCCCTTCATGTTGTCAGCGTCTGGGTGGTGTTCACACGGTAGCAGCAAGAAAACTTCTGACTTACAAGCAAGAGGAAGAATGGAAAATGCTCAAGGAGCTCCAATCACTGTCTTCCAACTACAAGCGGGCGATGGAATATAGAACACAGCATTCCCCTCCCTGTGCCACCTATAGGCCCCTAGAGAAAATATGGACAGCAAAGGTGATCGTGCCCTCAGAGGAGTTCAGAATGCCACAACGTGAGAAGCTCACCATCATGAAGCACATAGAACGGATGCAGCTTGCTCGAGCCCTAAGAAATAAGCAGCTCTTGCCCTACATCGAGAGGTTTCGGGGCTCTTCATTTCTACCTAGAGGAGGCCTGTGCCCAATGGCAAAAGACAAGACCGGGGAAGACGAGGACGATGAGGCTGATTTCTCTGATGACGCCAAGCAAGAGGAGAGAGGCAAGGCAGAGAAAAGACAAGAGATAAACATGAAAGTAATTTTCAAGTCAGAAGAGCCAAAAAAGTGTTTCATACAACATCCGAACGATCGGAAACCATTCTTCCCCACAAAGAAAGCAGAACGGTCCATCACTGGCTTAACCAACCGGAATCTTCTCCACTTGGCTGAATTCCCTGGTGACCTAATGCTAATGAATCAGGATTTTATATCACGGGGAGTCTTCCCCACCGAGGTGACAAAGGCCAGCCTCCTGGGGGAAGAGAGCGTCTGGAAAGAGTACACGCCTAAAGCTGCCTCTCACCAGTATTAAAATCTCACTTATTCCCATGGCAACCAAGTGTCCTGGTTCTTATTCCTCCTGCAGCTCTGCTCTGCCCCCCAGATCTCCAGGGCTCCTCAAGATGAGACCTAACAGTGAGGGCTTCCTGGTTTCAGGCATCTCTTGGCTCTTGGCTCTCTTGGCTCTCAGCCACCACCCTCACCCATGGCCCAGGCCTTCCCAGGATGCAGGTCCCCCCTTTACACTCACTGCCACGGGGCCTGTGTCACTCATCCCTGCCTGCTGTCAAACAAATCACCCTTAAATTTACTGGCTTAAAATAACAGTCATTAATTTAGCTTGTGATTCTGTGGCCTAGCAGTTTAGGTTGGGTTCAGTTGGGTTCCTCATGGGTCTGCAGTCACCTGCAGGTCAGTTAGATGACTCTCCTGGGAGTTGACAAACTATCAGCAAGGTCCATGGGAGTGACTGAGCCATGTGTTTCCTTCCCGCAGCAGGTTAGCCAAGACTCGTTCACGGGGCCACAGGATTCGGGAGAATTACTGGATGTTTGCAAGGCCCACGGAGCCAAGACTCAGAAGTAGCACACCACCACTTTGTCACATTGTGTGGGCCAAAGCAAGATCGGAGGCCAGTCCAGATGCAGGGGTGGGCATATGGGCCTCAGCTCTGGATAGGAAGGGTTGCAAAACCCTGCTGCAAAGGGCATGAATACGGGGAAGCGGGTGCGATTGGGACCCTGGTTGCAATTATTCCTGAGCTGGGACCAGTCTGTAGCTCAGATGGGTGAGAGAATGGTTCTGACGGAGAAGGCTGCCCAGACCTAAAGGCTGAAAGTCGGTTCCAAGCTTCCCATGTCTTACTGAGGTATGCAGCCTCTACCTCGGAAGGTAGAGCCCACCGGTTCCTGGCCTTGTCTCTCTGCTGCCCTGCTCGTCAGTCTAGCCAGGAGACCTACACCTTCCCAAGAAGCCAAGTGCAGGCACAGGGCATGCAGGGCTGTCATGTGCATGGTTCCTTCGGGCGTGTCTGGAGGTGAGTCTAGGGTCTCTGAGGGCAGCTATTGCTGTTCCCATTAAGGCCTGCCTTGGCCGCAAGGTTGCAGATCCAGCAGACAGCACCTGGGACAGCACATTTGGCATTTGAGAAGCAGAATGTGTCCATTTATTACCTGCATCTCAAGCACAGAAAGATCCCTTAATTAACTGCACTCTGTCTTTGGCAATCTGGTCACAGTTGGAATGACACAGAACTTGTCCACGCAGCCCAAGGCTTCCCAGCGCAAGCCAGCTTTCTTTCTGGCTCCCTCCTCTAGGGTAGGAGGTGAGGGTGGGATTCTTATGTCTGCTCCCTCAAGAACCACAGCTGCTGTCCTAGCACAGGTCGGAGCCAGGGGCAGGAGACTCCTCCCTCTCTCATTTTCCAAAAGAACTCCATTGGCCACCAGGGCAAGTACCAAGTCGGTAGCCGCTGTGGCTGGAATTCCAGGGTGTTGGGAGCCATGCTAGGGAGGTGCACACACAAGCTGTGTCTTTTCATGATGTCAGCTGTATTCACTCATAAAGCAATATTCCAAACTCAATGACATTTCTCTATGCTTTGAACTCGGCTTCCTACATGTCACGTAAAATGAATATAAGTCATACATCAGGCCATAAGCAACAAGGGTAGGAGGTTAAGGCGGCCATGAGCGTGCCCTGGGCATGCGGACTTGGTCTGGTTCGGGGGGGCTCCTGGCATTCTCTGCTTATCATGTTCAAGCAGTGGAGATCTCCATGTTCAGAGATCAGTCAGGTAGAGTCTTTGGGGGCAGTTGCCCTTTCTGATGTGGTCAGAAGTAGGGGAGTCAGTATCTGGAGAGTCTGACAGTTGGCTGCAAAAGTCCTCCCTGTTAAAAGTTTCATCCTAATATGGTTTCACTCATACAAGGAATATAAGACATAGTGAAAGGGACTATAAGGGAAAGGAGGGGAACTGAGTGGGAAAAATTAGAGAGGGAGACAAACCATAGGAGACTCCTAACTCTGGGAAACAAAGGGTTATTGCAGAAGGGGAGGTGGGCAGGGAGGGGTTGGGGTAACTGGGTGACGGGCACTGAGGAGGCCACTTGATGGGATGAGCACTGGGTGTTATACTATATGTTGGCAAATCAAACTTCAATAAAAACAAATGCAAATATTTTTAAATATTGCAAATATTATTATATTAAAAAAAAGAAAAAATAAATAAGAAAAAAGTTTCATCTTTATTTTGTCCCTCCAGACCTCTTCTGGTTCTTGTGATTATCAGTTCCTGGTTCTTTCAGGTTCTCTCAGAGCCTTGCTGATGATCAGTTCTTGTACCACCAGCGCACTCAAGTTTCAGCAATATCTATTCTCGGCTCAATGCTCTTGGCTGCTTACCTCACCGCTTGACATGAGTGACTCCATCGTGCTCTCTACACTGGATCCTTGTCTCAGCATAAATGTCACCTCTCCAGAGACAAAGGTCACCAAGAGCTTAAGATAGCTGGGCTTTATAGACAAGATGACACAAACGGTCCTCCCTCAGTTCCCCCCACCCTTGGTGGGGAGGAAGTAGCCAAAGACAGTTACAATGATGTTGTCAGCACAGTGCCCCCCCCCCCAAAAAAAAACCAGAATATTTGATGGACTAAACCAGTTTCCTCATTCTCCTGCTGGGGAAGTCTTTGACCTCAGCCTAACTTGGACTTTTCTGAAGGGCTCCGGGAAAAACTCAAAAGCATTTGTTTTCTCTCTTTACAAAAAGCAAGATATTAAACTAGGCAGGTTTATTTGACATGTCCAATCACCTGGAAGCATTGTCAAAGGAGAAGTGATGTCTGACCTTTTTAGGTTACATTAGGATCGGGACATGTTGTTAATATAAGTTTTCTAGAAATTATATGGCATTCCTAGAAATCTGTCCTGGTATAATGTCATCAGTCATAATTCTAGTTATTGACTTAAAATGTTGTGTGTCACAGAAATAATCAAATTTCCTTGTCAATTGCATCGTGATGAGCTCTCATCAGATCTTTAACCATGGCCATTTTAAGTCTTTTGTCATTTACGGACTATTCTTGTTTTATCCTGGTGCTTTTGCAAAAGTGCTCCATTTTCAAAAAGATTCATGGAAGAGACTCTGATAAGTGGAGGCTTCTGATAACTTAAAGATCATACCTCTGAATTGGGTGAGAATTTCCAGAACTCTAAAGGAAAACTTGAATTCATAAAACTGCTAACAAAAGAGCAACATCAACAAGAATTAATTACATGGGACTGAACGAACTCCTGAGGGTTATTATTAGGACTTTTGCTTTAAAATATCACTAGTTTGGGGGCACCTGTGTCGCTCAGTCGGTTGAGCATCTGCCTTTGGTTCAGGTCATGATCCCAGGGTCTTGGGATGGAGTCCTGCATCAGGCTCTCTGCTCAGAGGGGAGCCTGCTTCTCCCTCTTCCTCTCCCTCCAGCTTGTACTCTCTCTCTCTCTCTCTCTTTCTCTCTCTCTCTCTCCCTCTCTCTCTCTCTATCTCATAAATAAATAAATAAAATCTTTTTAAAAGATAAAATGAATAAAATATCACTAGTTTCTTAATGTTTTATTTTCCAGATTTAAGAAGACCCCCCCCTCTTCTTTTCCAATCTATTTATGTCTTATAGTAATTTGGTAAAGTTTACCTTTGTGAACGAAAATGAAACCATGGGACCCCTGGGTGGCTCAATGATTGGGCATCTGCCTTCGGCTGGGGGTGTGATCCCGGGGTCCTGGGATCGAGTCCCTCATCGGGCTCCCCTGCAGGGAGCCTGCTTTTCCTCTGCCTGTCTCTGCCTCTCTCTCTATGTCTCTCATGAATAAATAAATAAAATCTTTTTTTTTTTTTTAATTTTTTTTTTTTATTTATTTATGATAGAGAGAGAGAGAGAGGCAGAGACACAGGCAGAGGGAGAAGCAGGCTCCATGCACCGGGAGCCCGACGTGGGATTCGATCCCGGGTCTCCAGGATCGCGCCCTGGGCCAAAGGCAGGCGCCAAACCGCTGCGCCACCCAGGGATCCATAAAATCTTTTTTTAAAAAGAAAAATGAAACCATTACTTTTTCTTCCTAACTAATCCCTCCAGCATTTGGGAGTTCTTAGCATTCTTATTTTCATGGCAATATAGTTGTTTGTAGAAGTTCAGTAAGAATCTGTTCTCCTTGTAACAAGACACAATGTTTGAAACATTGGTACATTATCAAGGCTTTGACTGGAATGTCAGAACTGAGAATATGCATGAATCAGATATGACCAGACAGCTTTAAAAACTGGGGTTGACTTGAGGGAACCAGTAAAGCCCCTTGAAAAAACTAGCCTGGTACATTGCTTTTAGGGTTCCTGGCAGCCTGCCAGCCGACTAAGGAAGGTCACCTCCTGGCAATCCAGGAACCTCACGGTATTTTCAGGACCTCAAGAAGAGAGAGGTTAACTCAAATCTAAAGGTATCACAGACAAAATCTGATGACAAGTCCTTCGCTTGCCTTCTTAGCCTTGAGGGGTTTTACAAAATCTAATCTGAGATTCCTCATGAAAAGTTCCAGCAAAACAGATTAAAAAGAGCTTATGTGGTTACCATTATTCTTGCTGCCTTTATGTAAATAATCAGGCCATGTTTAATGAGACTAGACTTATTTTGCAAATCTTAGTTTGATTATCTCTGAGAGAGAGAGGAGTAAAGAGTAAAGAGGGAAAATTATATTTTAATGGAAAAGTATAACACACCCATATGGATGATAGATCATCCCAGTTGTGTTCATTCACTATAGGTTTTATTATCTCTCTGCGAACTGGACTCAATCCTGAATTCTTTTAGTTTCTTCTGATATCTGGCTACACCTCCCCAAATTAATGTTTCCAGTGATTCTCCTACCCTTCTGATTTGGAATCATTCAGAACTAAAACTGCCTTTTCCTGAAGACATGCAAGCTACAGCTCAACAACTTGGTATAAGCTTCAGAGAAATGCCACCAACATCTCATATTTAGACAAAT